TTATCAAAGTTGTTAAATATAAAATTTTCTAAAGCAATTGAATCTCACTGTAGTAGAATGAGCTTCTGAAATTGTGTTTTGTAATTACTATTTACAAATGATCTATATCAAACCCTTTTTTATATTAACAAGTATGTGTTCATAGTTAGGTTCTAAAAAACTTTCTTTGTATATTAAACATTTTCCAAAAGATAGCAGATCTTTAGCAATTGATCACTATACATTCTTAAGTAATTATTTTGCACATTTCTTCCAGGTTTCGGATTGTCATAGTCGTTTGTGACCAGGGTGACTCAACTGAACTGGTTTTGCTTGATCACACTGCCGAAAAACATTTTGGCATTTCTGCCCAAAATCTTTTTATTCAGACAGAAGGCGATGTCAGTGCCCCACCTACAAAATTACTACAGCTTCAAGGAAACCAACTGAAGCTGCATCTTCGGATTAGTGACTACGACATTGCAAACCCTTCCAGTAAGCTTACTATCATGAATATTCTGGAAGTGAAAGATCATACAACTAGAACTCAAATTGTGGTGAAGGAAAATGAGGTTTGTTTATTGAATATCATTAATTATATCTTAATATGCTTACTTTCTTAGATTGCTGTTACTCCTCTATAAGTTTTTTACACCTTTTTTGTTCTTATGGCTTTTATGTAGACTGGCATCCAAAGCACTCATTCATCTAGCCTGTCTTTGACTATTAGTGGATCCCCGCCAAGATCACCAACACAAGTATCACCTGTCAACATTCCTTCTGATGTGTTGACTCCACAACATGCTCTGGCCAAGGGAACACCTACCACTAGCTACAAAAGAAAGCATGATGCAATTGTTGAGTGTGACGAATAGGACCATGTCTATTCTACTATCCTATCACCAAACATCGTTCTGATCTAGCATTACTGTTTTTATTTTTATTTTTGGATCAATTACTATGGTGAGAAGAGAGACAGAGATAATAGTGATAGACATATGTTTGTTTCGGTTTTGCTCCTCTTTATGGTGTTGATAACAATGGATTGTATATATATTATCTATTACTGATATGTTTATTTTATAATAGGGAATCAGTGATTTGCAGTTCAAATCACATAATTCCACTAAGTTTCACATCCTTGCTGTCTAAAACTAAACATGCCTTTAGACAATCAAAGCTGTTGTTCTTCTTTTCACAAAATATCGGCCAAAAACTTAAGAGCATATTACTAATTGAAAACAAAAAGAAGGTCAAAGATTAAAAGCCTGTTATTAATTTAAAAAAAAACGGGCCAAAAATAAAAGCCCAATCGATCTTTGGACTCTATTAACATACATAGCCCACAAAATGGGCCATATAAAACACTTCCATCAGCTGATATAAGTAGGGTTGTATTGTATAAAAGGTAAAACAGTTTCTGCTCTTTCTCTCCTTACCCAGCTGGTGTCTCCGAAAGAGAAACCCTAAATAAATTCCCCGCAGCTGCCGCCGTCCTGGTCCCCCATCTCCCACATTCGACACCATACAGGTACTACTCGCATGTATTATATGCTCATTCTATTGTTTCTATTTCTTTTCCTTTTCATTTCTCATTTTGTCTTCTTTCACAATTGGAGCAAGAAGTTATTGCTGCCCCATATCTCAATCACAATCCGGTTTGCTATTTTGGCCGACAACAGAAGCGAAAATGTTGCCAGAAGACCCACATGGTATATTACAATTAGTTGAAAATAGGTTTGTCCGAATGCTTTTATATGTAATGACTCAGTTTCCCTATTGGTTGTAGATGTAATGGCTGAATCCATAACCTTTCGTGAACTTCAACTTGGAACAACCAATCGGTTTCTCATGGCTAGACTTTTAAACATATGGTCAGAATGTGAGTCAGATGGAATTAGATCTATTAACTCAATGCATATGCTTTGGTTAGATAAAGAGGTAAATTTATAAACATTATACACCTACTGGTTTTACTCTTATCACAAAACAGTTACTTTAAGCTCATTTCTAACATTTTAAATCCTTTAGGGACAACTTATGGAAGCAAATGTACCCCATGAAGATTCTGCTTATATTTGCAAAGACATTGAGATTGGTTGTCTGTATACCATGATGAATCGAACTGTCATACCAGCTAGATCTGAGCGTCGGACTGCATCTTCCAATTTGAGGTTGTATTTTACAAAGGAATCTTCATTTAAAGCAATGATTGAATATCGCAACACAATGCATTTTCCAGATGATTGTTTTTTTCATAGTCCTTTCGATGGCAGTGGTTCTTCAACAAGTCTTCCACCTTGCTTCTCAGGTATTCATTGTTTATATTTAACCCGTTGATTTAAACAGATTGTATTAGAAATTGATGTGCTAAATATTGTATATTCCAAAGATCACTTAGAACAATACAACTAAAACATTTTCATATTTCAGATATTACAGGATGTGTAACCCATATTACCGAACCAGATAAAGTCAATTCTGAAATATCTATGTTCCAGATTTATCTTGAAGATATGAGGTATCACTTATAATTAGTTACTATAATGTCTTCCTGGAATCAAGATTAGTATATAATCATACTTATACTCCGTTTTCCAACTTTTTAGTGGAAACAAAGGACTTGTGAGCTATATTGGCACAAGAATTAAAGATTTCTTTGAAAGTGCTATTGCCAAAGAAGTTCATTATCCTCTGGTTGTGACAGCAACAGCTCTCACCCGAAACATCCATGAATATGACCATATTCCACAGTTCTGTTTTGTAACATCTCCTGGCAGTCGTCTTATAGTACATTCGTACAATGAGATGACCAAAGATTTAATGAACAAGTAAATTGTTATATTAATATGTTCACTTTTATTATATTTTGCATGTTTTTTCCTAGAAGTTGTCTAATTTAACTTTCAAAACACTGTAGGTTCTTTCCTAATAGACTGCTTGTGGATATCATTGACTACAAATAAAAAGAACGGCTTGGATATCTTCGGCGTGACATTCCACCTAGAATCTCATTATTAGAATTGACCAACAAGCTGCTTTTAGGAGAAGAAGAAACAGAGGTATCTATAATTACCTTCTTTGCTCTATTATACATTTGTTAAAGAAGTATAGTTGACAAATAGAAATATGTTTCAAATTGACTTTCAATAGTAGCAGTGTTTTCAAATATGGCTAAATTCTGTTTTTTGTATTTCTCCTATATCAAACTATATGGCAGATACTCTATCAGTGCAAACTGAAAATAGTCAAATTCGACCTTGGTTCTGTGACCCGTGAAGTTTTTCCTGGAGACACTGAGTATTTCCAAATACCTTTCCTTTTTGATTCCCTATTATAAAACTAATATACATTTTTTAAATGCATCTAATCTATATATTGCTTTAGATTATTCTATGAACTGCAGGCTGAATGTGAATCAGGAAATCACAAGGCAAATGTCATTCTTAATCATGGACCTGCTCTTGCTCTGCTTCGTAAGCCATCGATCGAGTTCAAAAAAATGCCATATGACAAGCGAGTTCAGATGCTGAAAGAATGCTGTAACAAGAAATTCATGGCAGAACTATACATCATTGGATCAGAATATCAAGTTGAACCACAGATTCGCATGTTTACAATTTGGAATCCAAAAGCATTTCAACCATTACTGGATCTGAAACTGAACTTATAAACACTGATATCATTTTGCATTCCAAGAAGGTATATGTCTTCCCTTTTTTATTTCAAATACAGTAGAGTATTGCTATTTATTAACAAAATTGAGGCTTTAGATTTAATAATGAGCTTCTACTTTTGTTATTATTTCAGCTGGTAAGACGTATGGATGAATCAGCTGGTTATCTAAGAAGGAATCAAGGGAAGGCAGAACTAGGAAATATGAATTCCAATTTTATTTTGAACATTTCATCCTTTTGGTATTAGAAGAAGTACATTTATATGTCTTCTATTTAGTTCAGTTCTTAGTATGTATGCAAAACAATATGCACTGCACCTAATTTCCAATTCGTTTTTGCATGTCTTCACTTCCCTAATCATAGACCATTGGATCCTCAGAGTGATTCATAAACCATCGTTTTTGTATGTCATCCACTTTCCTAATCAACTGATTTATTCACCGTATGCAGTGCATTTCTACAACAATTCTATATTTACTCTCACATTGTTTGAATCAAAGGAAAAAATGGTATAATTAGACAAAAATTGAATTGTGACTACCCATATTATAATGGCAACAATGAAAAAATAAGATTTTCTATTCTCACACATTCGTGATGCATGGAATATGTACACACGTAATTTACATCGGCAACTATTGTACGATACTCAACGAAGCTGCATCCGGCCATCGGGCCGGGCTCTAGGCTAGTTTTATAAACAAGAAGAACATCATCCCAAAACATCAGGTCAAATGAAAACCCAACCCGTACCAATGCAACAACTTTTCTAGGTGATGCACTCAATTCTACAGCTATGAGAAGTGAAGATTGAATCTTCATCTTTCGTTACAGTAAAGATCAACTTGTACTGATGCATGTTACTCACTTTTTGAAGCAAAAAGTAAGATGACCGTGTGACATTGCCAATGTTTTGATTTCCATGAATCTTATTGAAAACTTACATTTTAACCTAAACCCCAAATATGGTATGAGGGAAAATAGAAACTTTTTATTAGTACATTGAGCATAGGCATGTGTGTCAACAAAAGATTGTTTTGTTTTTAGTTTACTAATTTATTACGAGAGCAGTCTGTTTGATTTGAGTTGGTCGGGTTTTAGAAGCCCAACTCATAACCAATCCAAAAATTACTGGATCTTTACTCCATAACCCATATTCATTCATTTGATTAAGTTTTGCTCGGGTTTTCGGATTGACTCGGGTCGAGTGACACGAATGAATCGAGTTTCGGGCTCACCCCTAGTAGTGGATATATATATATATATATATATATATATATATATATATATATATATATATATATATATAGAGGTTTAAAAAGAGATAGTTAAGTGGATGGGATGGGAAGGGGGGACTTGAGTAGCAAGAGAGCCACGAAATTTCAATATGGGAAGAAAAGGGTAGATAGGGATACGTGTTTGAGTAAGAGATTCAAAGCTCAATATCCCTCATATGCCTCATCCAAACACCTCAAAAAAATGAGGTCCATTGAAGTTATCTCATCCATTTGGGTTCTCTCATTTCATTTCTGCCTCTAACTAGTCTAAATTCTATGTTGTTTTTACAAGTCAATCAATACTACCGGCCACCACCTTCCAAAATTTTGTATGGACCCGTCTCTCCCTCACAGTTGTATCCATATCCAGTTCCAGTTTGGTCCCATTCTGCCCCTTTTGGTCTCGTTCTCTTCCTTTTGGATTCCTCCATTTAGAAAAAAACATTCAGCATCCTCTTGTTCATTCTTCTTCTCCATTAACACAAATTGTAGAACGAGCGCTGGCTGCATAATCTCTGCGGCTCCATTAAAGTAGTAGGAGGAGAAGAGTTGCAGGTAGGCTGTTGGGCTGGGCACTCCACTTCACTTGTCTGGTAACTGGTTGGTTATTATGCATATGGGTCATTTAATTTTCACTCCTGTAGATAATTTCTGACTAATGCAGCAAATTTGGTGGCTTTTCAGTTATTAATTAATGATGGATTTCCGTTTTCTGGGAGTTGGAATGTCCGATAGTTAGTTAGGAGTCGTCTGTCCCTATTGCGTTGCCAAGGGAAAGGCCGAAGGGACGACAGCCGCATGTTGTTGGGCCGAAATCATGTTTGGCTTATTGGGTTCGGCAACCTAATTAAAATAATTACTATTATTAAGGATTGTTGTTTTAGTCACCAATCCGCATTAATTCCCTAATGAGATACATTGTATAATATATTTCATCCTTTACATCTTGAGCCTAAAAACTAATTAAAATGTGGATGAAATAAATTTCATCGACACTAAAAACTTTGGACAATACAGATATTATAATATTGGACCGAATTATCTAATCTTAATTAGTTATTGCTACATATATGTTGTTCACCTTATAGGATTTGTAATGTAATATTAATTTTCCTTAAAGGTGTAACATTGTTGTTATGTATTGACAGGGCCGAGCGACATAAGCAATCAAATTGAGAAATTCAAACAATGCCTGGAAATTTCGGGATGTTATGTTGCTGCAAAGGAAACGTCACGGTAAGTTGTTCCTAAGTTTTCCATATTCCTCCTTTAGTTTCACTTAGCTTGATTCCAAAGTAACATTTCCGGAATGGGTCATATAGTATTTGAGTTAAATTATGGGTTTGATAGTGAGCAAATGGAATAAGAATATAAGAATATGACAGTAGGGGTCTACATGTGTTTCATTTCAATTAGTGAGGTCCTTGTCCAGCTAAGAGTAGCACATATTATACAATAATAAATTAATTAATATACATAAGCTAACTCTCCCATTCCCACCCTATCCTTTGACTTGGATGGCCAGAAAACAAAATCCATATGCAAAATGATGTAAATTAAATGTTTATATTAATGTTTAGAATATTGGAAACAATTAACACATTAATTGCTCTTTCAAATCTTGAGGAGGGCCTTTCCAGTTCTGGCTTCTCGATAATGGAAAGTACCTTCTTCTTCTTCTTCTTCTTCTTCTTCTTCTTCTTCTTCTTCTTCTTCTTCTTCTTCTTCTTCTTCTTGTGTTTGACTTATCTGGAACTTAATAATTTTGATTGCCATCCAAATTTGTGTTTTCTTTTGGGGAATTATTGAGTTGGGTGCACATGGTCATGGACGGCCGGCCCATTTGACTTTTCTCTTGTCCCACCCCAAAACCCTCGCCTACCTCCATCCATCCGGCAGGCCCATACCCCATTTCCATCCACCGTCTCAGGATGTGTATGTTGTAATTAGCACCATCATTGGACGTAAGGAAGTTAACGTGAAATTCTCCCAGTCTTTATTTGTGATGTCATAATCAAGATTCAAGATGTAGGGCTGAGTTATCGTCTCAATAACAGAGGCTAAAGCCACCTGTGTCGCGGAATTCGTAGCTGTACCCGCAAACATGTTGTGCTGGCATGATGTTTTTGGAGTTGCATACGGAGTCGACCGATTCAATCCTCGAATTGGTGATCTGACGAGCAGGGGCCCAGTCCAGAACCTCGGTCACGATCGTTGGAGATGCCAGATATGGGCTTCTTATTTGCTGTTGATGATGTTGTCAAGGGACAATACCCAAAACCCTAAACATTTTCATTACACGAGTAAAAATCTAAGTACGAGAACTGAGGAACCATAGAGGGGGAGAGGAGGAAGGTAAGAGGGTTCCTAGCTACGAAAAGCAGCAGTAAGTCGATTTGACAAAAAAAACATTGCCGATCACCCAAAATGCTAGGTATAGGTTGAATGAATGGTCATCGGAGTGAGAGGTCTATTTATTAGGAGCTCCAGGCCATAAGTGTCATCATCAACTAACAACATGAAGAGTGATTTGTTAGTTTTATGGATGTGAGGTGTCGATTTCTCATGTTCTTTCCTTTCGATCATGCTCGTTTTATCCATAACAAAATCAAATTTCTTATCGATCTACCATCAACCCCAAGATCGTTAATGCTTTATTATTATGACACACTAAAGAGTCATTTAAGAAGAATTGATTAGCAGTAACGGTTTTGGTTTCTCCTTTTCACGTGTAATAAACGGAGTGACTGAAAAGGTTGGATCTGACACACATCTTTGTGTAATTGTGTCCGGTTAATCGTGCCTAGTAGAACATGATCCAACAAAGTTGGAGCGCGATGCAGGCTGTCACGATTTTGTCCTTAATTACAGTGCTGGAAATGGTTGAACTTGAAACTCTATATATATATAAATAGTATAAAAATGAAGCAGGAGGGGGCAAGGGCGGTAATCGTGGGGCGTGACTGACTGACTGACCTCCTCTCATCTCGCTGGAAGGAACATAGAAGCAGCTGCTCTTCTAGCTAAAATTAATTAATTCTGTATTATTTTTAAACAACCCACGTCAGCCAAAATTGGAAAGCTCTTCCATTAACAAAGACGATATCATATTCATACCAGTAGACAAGGGCAAGGCAGCCAGACTGCGAGGTTTTTTTAAGGAAGGATTTTCCCCCATTTAATTCCCCCACCACTTTCTCCTCCTTCTGTCACTCGATCTGTCTTCCTCCCCAAACCACAAACCTTTCCTCCGCACAGAAGAAGAAGAAGAAGAAGAAGAAGAAGAAGAAGGAGAGGTCGGTATCCTCAATCTCAGCTTCAATTCCCTGTTTTCTGCAGACAGCCATGGATCCAAATTTTATGCAGAAACCAAACCATCTCCCAATCCAGCCAGCTCTGTTTTTTGTTTCTCTGGCTTTGATTTTCAGCACACCCACACTCCACCTGTTCTTCCCCCTAACTACTACGGCCCTTGTCCCTTTGTTTAATTGTTGATCATTTTATTAGTTTCTTCGGAGATGACAGCTGTTTGATTTATCTTGTGTCTATGGTGTGCGTGCAGAAGGAAGAAATGGCCGACGATTCATACCAGGCAGCCATTGATGGTTTGACCACTCTTCTCAGGTAATTAACCTCCATCGCTATTTGAATTTTTTCGATTTGTCTGCTGGACTGGTCCTCTGCATCATCCACAGTTTCCTCGACAAAATCGGATCCAGCCAGGGAAGTAGCAGGCGTACGGAGGAATCGCGGCCCCTTCCCCCTTTTTTTTCTTGTCCCAAATTGGGCAAAAAAAGATAACAGTACGGACAAAGAAAGAAAGAAAGATAAGATCAAAATCCGGAATTAATTTGAATGAGCAATAATTCAAACCGACTGCTCCCACGCGGTTCAATTTAAACGCTGGTCGGAGCCAGACTGTTGACTCTCCTCGGCCCTCTGCCGGACGGAAGGAAATGCGGTCGCCGCCCGATTTTCGCGCCGGCGGAATGGATCACTTTTGTCAGACGCTCGTTTTTTTTTTTTTTGTTTTCTCTCTTCCGTTAGTTTCTGTGCCTGATCGATCTGGTGTGTCCTTTTTTTTCTGGCAGTGAGAAAGCTGGCCTCGGGAGCGTCGCCGCCGCAAAAATCAAGCAGTTAACGGCTGAGCTGGAGGCCGCCAGCTCCACCGGTTTCGACCCCGTCGAGAGGCTCAAAACTGGGTTCCAAACCTTCAAGACTGAGAAATATGAGTATGCTTTTGCAACTTTCCCTCTCTCAAAAAACCAAGAGGAATATACTCTTTGATCCTTCCGTTCTTGCGAAATTACCTTTAACTCCCCCGTCCGTCTGTCCTCTCTTGTACGATAAAAAAAAAAACAACTTCTTTTTACTGTGTCAGCCAGGCTTTACCTGGCCTGCTGCTGCCACATTAAGAAGAAGGTTCTTTCTTCTGTCCACCTACCTGATAACTGATAAGCAAACAGACTTTTCCCTTTGATTTTTTTTTTAATTGAATGATAATAATGAAAGCTAAATTTCTCTACTTTCTACACAATTTCTTATATGTTACAGGAAGAACCCTGATCTTTTTGAGTCACTAAAGAAAGGACAATGGCCGAAGGTTGGTTTCTGCATCCCTTTTTTACAGCCTTATTGCCCAGATTCGTTTAGACATTTTAAAATGAACTGAATTTTGAGTGCTGGGTTGGGTGAATGTGGAATGCTGCTGCAGTTTATGGTATTCGCGTGCTCAGATTCGAGGGTGTGTCCATCGCAAATCCTGGATTTCCAACCAGGGGAAGCTTTCATGGTTCGCAACATTGCCAATATGGTCCCGCCATATGACCTGGTTGGTCCTTCTCTTTCCATCGTAATCTATACTCTTACCAACGCGGTCCAGTGCGTTATCCTGTAATACCCAAAGTTGTTATTTTGTGAGTTATGGTGCTGTTTGCTGAATGCTGATCCTGGGTGTTTGTTATGTATGCACACAGACCAAGTACTCTGGCGTAGGGGCGGCCATTGAATATGCGGTGCTGCATTTGAAGGTGGGTGACGACTCTATCTTAGCTGTTACTTTCCTGGTCTACCTTTTTCTTATCACTTTCGATGGCAATGGGCTGCTGTGTAGTCAGCAGTATTCCACCAGGTAATAATGGAGGTGGGGCAATTATGCCATTCCCCTGCAACACTAATCCATCCATGGTGATGCTACAGCCTACATATCATGATATCTGCAAATTTGGCCCTTTCTCACTCAAATGAAATATGGGCGATGTTATCACACATCACCCACTACGCTGTTTTAGTCTTAGATAAGAGGAAACAGTTTCATTTGTCGTGTACAGTGCAAGGGGATAAAATATGGGGATCCGAAACCTGCAAAGTTGGAAGCTTTTTCCTCTTTTTTTTGTTACTGATATGATAACAGAAGTTTTCATTGTGTTACTGATATGATAACTGAAGTTTACTGCTGTGGGATTTTGCTTTTATTTCTTTAATCATGGTTGGGTTATGGTGGTGTGCAGGTGGAGAATATTGTAGTCATTGGACACAGCCGCTGTGGAGGGATCAAGGGGCTTATGAGTCTCCCTGATGACGGCTCCACTTCAAGGCAAGTCTGTTTTAATAATGAGATCAGTACCCTATATAACTACGGATCAAAGTTAAAAAAAAACTTGTGAGTAAAGAGAGTGATAAGTACTGTAATATTATTGTTCTGGCTTTCTGTTTGCCAATCCCCAAAGGTTGCTAGCCTAAATATTCCTTCTTCACTTGACCGATGTTCCAGAGAGCTGTAGAGGGTATAATCAAACTGCCTTTTGTCTAGTTGTTACTTTGGTACCTAGATGAGGGCATCTCAAAAGGGCAAAAAAAGATAAAGCTGATCAGGAATAGGGCTACTTTTGATATAGAACAACCAGATGGCACTTTGAGAATCTCAGGATATGGATATATGTGACCAATTGGAAAAATTGACTCACAGTTGAATTGAGATGCGGGTGGAATGCTTGCCCTTTCTGTCAATTCTACCTTTCTTTGGCCCCTTTAGCTCCATTCCCCCGTCATAGAATTATATTCCTGCAACGGTATGAGCTCTTTGTAAGTGTGGGAGATTCAGGACTAGCATGAAAGGATATGCTAATATGCTGTGTTGTAGAATTTGCATTAACCTTCCATGTCAATAAATACTGCAGTGACTTCATTGAGCAATGGGTAAAAATCTGTTCCAACGCGAGGTCTAAGGTGAAAACGGACTGCAGCGACATGAGTTTCGATGAGCAGTGCTTCCACTGTGAGAAGGCAAGTTACAAATTACACATCAACATCCCTGTCTGTGATTACTGGTTATGCCTAACATTATTGCAGTGCTAATAGTTGTTATCATCACTGAACTTGTATACAGGAGGCTGTGAATATATCACTTGGAAACTTACTGACATATCCTTTCGTCAGAGAGGCCGTGGTCAAGAAAACTCTGGCGCTCAAAGGTGGACACTACGATTTCGTCGATGGATGTTTCACGCTATGGGACCTTGACTTCAAAATCTCCCCTACCATCTCTGTCTGAAGCCCCTTCCATTTCCTGCAAAAACTTGGTTGTTGTTCCCTTACATTCCAGTAATGTTTAGTTGTAAATGTGCTGAAGAATAACCTCAGGACAATGTCAAGGTCCAAACTTCCAAACAGTGACTGCATGCCTTGCTTTGCTCTGTGTTTCTGCTGAAGAATAAGTGAGTTTTCTTTTTTGGTTCCATACATATCTTTAATCTAAGCTTTCAATCAGTGACTGCACTGCATGCTTTGCTCATTCTGTCCATCAAGAAATCTGTATACTTGAGCTGGAAACTAAAACAATCTCCTCATGTTCAAGCTCAGAATCAAATCAATCTCTTTTTACATCAGAAGCCTCGTACATTCTGTTTTTAATTTTATACAGCTGATTTACTCTTACTCTTCGAAGCACAGTTTACCATAAATAAAACAAGTGAACATCCAGTACAGTCCCTCGTTGCTTGGTTAACTTACTTTCTCATGGAATTGGATAGACCACTACTTTCCCAGTAGCTTTTCCAGTTTCAATGTAGGAGAAAGCCTCGACAACCTGAGAAAACGGGAATGGTCCTTTGGGATCAATCACTGCCTTCACCTTACCACTGTCCAGATAAGGGTTGAGTTTCTTCAGAACCTCTCCATTGGAAGTGACCACAAATCTGAAACCTGGAGGCGTCACCGCTCCGGTCAAAGCCACCACGCTTCCCCCTTCTTTTATAGCTTTCACCGCCTTATCACATTGCCCTGCAAAAACACCACCAGTACCCATTTCTACCAAGCAGTCATTGTTTCAAACAACCAACCAGCATATGCAGGAGCAGAAGTTGAACTCACCAATGGCATCATAGACCACATCGAACTTTTCAGGCAAGTCTTCGAAGTTCTCCTTGGTGTAGTCAATAGCCAAATCAACTCCCAAGCTCTTGAGGAACTCCAGCTTCCCAGTGCTGGCAGTGGCCGCAACTCTCGATGCTCCAAAAACTTGCTTAGCCAGCTGCATATATTATTGGCCAATCAACAAACCCTCAAGACCCTTTTCAGAGAAATGCAAGTTATACAAACATTGATTATCAACAATTCTAACCTGAATCACAAGGCTTCCAACACCACCAGCGCCATTGAGGACCAGAATCGATTTCCCAGAAGAGAACCCAGTTCTCTCCAGACCTTCATAAGCCGTCTCGATTGCGAGAGGGAGTGCAGCAGCCTGAGCGAAATCAAGACTCTTGGGCTTTAGAGCCAGCAATTTCTCTTCCACTGCCGTGTATTCCGCCAGAGAACCAAACTGTTTAGGCCCATCCAGGGCCTTCTCGTGAATGTCGCCGTAAACCTCATCTCCTTCTTTGAGCACCTTCACTTGGCTCCCAACTTTCACCACCACTCCGGCAACATCATACCCTGGAACAGTCTACAAAGCAGCATTTTGAAATTTTTCTCAGTAATCAAACGGGCAGTACAGCTAATTGAAAGAATTGAGGAATTAATTACTCCGACTGTTTAACCTACCGGAAGAGCAGAATCGGTGGCCTGGAACTTCCCCTGCCTCCGCTTGAAATCCACGGGGTTGAGAGCGGCGGCGACGACCTTGACCAGAACCTGGTCCTCCTTAATTTCCGGCACGGAGACGCTCTCGTCGAACTTCAAGACGTCGACGGTCCCATAGTCTCCGTAAATCCAGGCCTTCATCGTGGAAGGAACGGCGGAGACTTTGGCGGCGGCCTCTGGGGATGCTTGGGAACTTGCGGAGACTCTCAGAGGAAAGCGACGAGAAGGCCGGCGGGGGGAATCGTGTTTTAGTAGCGAGGTGGGGTTCTTGTTTCCGGCGCCGGCGAGTTGTTTTTCCCGGAAAGCAGGGGAAAATCGGAGGGAGTGGAGTTGAGGGGAGAATGTGGTCGGGAAAGTTGGGAGAGTTGTGGATGTGGATGCGAGTGTGGCTTCCATTTCTTCTTCTTTGGCCCTCTACCGGAGACTGTCAGCCGCTTATCTGTTCTGTGCTGTGCACTACTTCCCTTGCTTACTTATCATGGTTGTCAAACAGGGACGTCCAGTGAGTGGTGTAGGTACTGTTTCGTAATTAAGATGGATGCAAATTTACTTTTAAGTACGATAAAAATGAAATTAATTATAACATTGTTATTTAAAATATATTATTTTTAATTGTTTTGCAGGTCGGGTTGAGAGGAAAATCGCCATTAGTTCGAGGTTGGAAAGGAAAATGACGGATCCAGCCCCCGGTATCACTGCGACACCAAAATCGGGTCTCCGGCCGCGGAGCAAACTCGGGAATGGGGTGATGGCGGCATCGACGAGGTGGACCGAGCAGCACTCCCAGCCGTCGCGAGGAATCCCTTGGTAGAGGGCGCAGCGGAAGGCAGTTGCCGCGGCGGCGGTGACAACATCACTCGGCGGCGGCGGTGATCCCATCAGCACTCCCAGACGGCGAAGACTCCCATGGTGTGCGGAGGCAACGGGCGTTAATCCTAGAGTGAAAATTTGTTAGGGATTGTGAATTTTTTGGGGCAAAAATGTCAAATTGCCAAGTAAGGGCGACAAATTTTAGAAAACCTAAGGCTTTAATTTTTTTTATATATAAGGGAGGCTACAAGCCAGAAAGGTAAAACGGAAATCAATCTTACATCAGCCACAAGTAACACTGCTCACACGAAGGCCCTTGGCTGCAAACTGAAAAGGACTTAAGCAATCAGAAAAGGCTATCCCGACGATATCATCAGTGGGAAGCTAATCCCTTTCATATCTTCCTAAAGTATCCGCTCCAATCCGGTCGGCGGATCGGTTAACTCATATATATCGAAGGGATAGGCGAGACTGTGCTTCGAGAGCCAGTCCGCGACTCTATTCCCTTCGCGATATGTATGAACTAACCGAACCATCCAATTCCTTGCCATTATCTTGTGAATCGCAGCTAGGAGAGCTGGGAATCAGTCTTAAGGATCAGGAACTGAATTCTCTGATTCCAAGCATAATTAAGACCATGCAAAATGCCCTAGAGCTCTGCAAGGAGAGTTGTCCCTGTACCAACATTACTGTAGAAGCCTCCTAGCCAAACTCCATCACTATCACGAAGGCTGCCCCCTGCCATAATGGTTCTTGGAGTTCCCTGAGCTGCTCCATCGGTATTGAGTTTGAACCAACCTCTCGACGGCGGAGTCCAACTAATTAGCTCCTTAGATCGACTCCAGCTCGTTTGTTCAGTTATGTTCAAACAAGCTGACATCCATGTCCTCCCCCCAATCAGTAGCTTTAGCAATCACATAGTTGATCCAGGTAGTTCTTGTGAGAATTTTGTTCTGAAAGAGATGTTCATTTCTGATTTTCCAAATATACCAGCTAATTAAGGAGAAGAAGCTCGCCCAATCACCAGGCCATTCCCCTTCACTATCCACGCTGATGTTAGAGTTGCACCAGGTATCATGATCGGTTGAGAAGAAACCTTCTTGTTGTGACACATGAACCACTTGTTCCCAGATCTGCCTTGCCACTGTGCAGTCCCTTAAACAATGAAGATTGGTCTCGACTTCTGTTTTTCATAGAGGGCACTTATCATCTCCTGTCAAGCGGCGAAACTTCCTGACTGCATTAGTGTCTAACCTTCCCTTAATCGCTAGCCAGATAAACCATCTTACTCTTTCTGGACAATGGAGCTTCCAAACCTTGTTCCAGAAGGACGCGGTGGTTGTACCTTGTTGAGGCGAAATACTTTTGAAAGCTGAGTTGGTGGTGAACCTTCCATGGTATCTTCCGTCGGGGATAGGTAGTCAACCCGGAAATTCCTTATTTTGTCGATCACCTCAGGCGGCAATAAGTGGCTGAACTCTTATTCTTTCCAGCCTCGTTATGGGTCCCAAACATCATCAACTGTCTTGTTCCTTAGCTCCAAGGGTATCTGTCCCATAACATATTCTTTTAAAGGTTCTTGCATAATCCAAGAATCAGACAAAAAATTAGTTTTCCTTCCATTTTTAACGTTATGAGCCATACACTTGCGCAATAGGTTGGCAGTTTGTGAAAAGCTGCGCCAAGACTATGAACTTCCCTTTCTTTTATCAAGCATACTGAGTCCCTTCTTTGATCCACAATATTTGCTACTGAGAATCCTTGCCCAAAGCGAATCATCATTTAGTGATAACCCTCCAAGCCCCCTTCGCCAACATAGCTTGATTTGCTAGTCTTGTCGGTCTGATACCTATCCCTCTAAGGCGTTAATTAATACCTCCTATTATGATAATATTAATAATAGTAGGGGCATAATAATATATGTAAGTGTATAAATATAAATTAATCAATATAAATAATAAGTGAAACTCACCCGGCCAATACCTAAAGGCAAACATATTTTATGTTTGAAACCAGATAGGGTGCTAACACTCTCTAATATTTGTACGAGATTAACATAATTCATTAAAGGTATTATAGTAGTTACTACAAAAAAAAAAAATATTATAGTAACTAGCCACTCATAGGAGCAACCCACTTCCCCCTCTATCCCTTTGATTTGGGTTTCATAAACAAATTATAGTGTGATTAGGGCTGGACAATCGATTCTCGGTTAGCGGTTAACCGATCGGTTACAATCGAAACTAGTCGATTATCCACTAACCGAAAACGGAGATAACTGAAAGTCGGTCGGTGTTCGGAGGCTGGGCGAGATGGTTTTGGTCTTAGGAGGCGGTTCGGTTAACCAAAAACCAAAATAACCGAAGCCTTGAGCCCTCTTTCGGTCGATGGTCCGGTAGGTTTGGGATGTGGTTCGGTTAACCGTTAACCGAAAATTTAGTTTTCGGTTAAACCGAAACCGATCGACCTCTAGCCCTAAGTGTGGTACATAAACTTAATAGATGTTAAGATTTACTACCTAAAATTATTGATGGGAAATTATATTTTAGTAATTAGAAATTTTATGTCTTACATTTTGATACCTAATATTTAGGGTAAATACAATATAATAGCCAAACCGTTAACTTTTCGTGCGGTCAAACGCCAGTTAACTCTGATGTGGTAAATTCTTGTACACGTCATCTTATAATTATTTCTTTTTTATTTATCAAATTACTTTTCTAAAGTTACAAAATTAAAAAACAAATGAAAATAAAAAATAGCCATTGGCTTATGCCTTTGGCCTTCGGCTTCCTCCTTCTCTTATCCTTCATATTTAACTCCTTCACCATTTTTTCCAGCTATGTGCGATCTGCCTCTCCTAAACCGAGCCCAACATCATCAAGCTCTCTCCTCCGACCAGCTTCGTCAACCAATGCCACACATGCCATCGTCATTTGTTCCTCGACCAGAATCTCCGCTGACTCATGATCTGGCATTTGCCTCCTCTTCTCCCCTCCACTCCTCCATCTCTTCTGTCTTCTGCTCTTTGGCCTCCTTCTTGACATTACCTGGAACGCCCCCTCAAACGAAAGTTGATGCCGAATTGTGGATTTTATATGGTTTGCACAGTTTGAACCCTTGTGCTGCCAAACCACGAGTCTTTAGTTTGCACAGGTTGGACATACCATCCCTTGTGCTAAATAAATGGCTGAAAATTGGGGGTGGTCAAGAGAATTCAAAATCATGATCTTTCGGTTCTAGGCTCTGATACCATGTTGGCAAACTAACCACTTGGTCCCAATAACTCGAGTTGTTGGAAAATGGTTTGTTAAGTCTTTTAATCTCTTACACTTGCTGGCGTCTCTGCTCTCTCGTTCACAATCCCGCCGCCGCCGAATTTGTAAAGAAACGAACTGCTAGTGTTTCATCGATGAACGAGGGGAAGGGAGACAGATCGACAACCCTGATTTCAGGGACTTCTTTTGGGTTCTGCACCAATTCGTCAGAGCATTGTTATCTATCCTTGCTTCTGGTTTCTTTTGATCTCCATCAATAAGAGGCACTCTCCCTTCTCATTACTTCTGGTCTCGACAGTCGCTAGGAGAAGATGAAGAATACGATACAGGGGGGGATGAGATTTGGCCTCACAAGGATGATAAACTAGCGGCGGGGCCCAGAAGATTTTTTTGAATTTGTAGGCAAAATGATTCCAATTATTGGCGAGCTTAGTGCTTGCTTGGTGGTGGCCGCGTTCAGTTTGTCGGAAGGAAGGAATTGATGAAAGAGAGGGAGGCGAATGAATAGGGGAATTGGGTGGTTGTTAATAATTATTTATGTTATTTTCTTTAAAAAAAGTGATAAGTAAAAATTAATTAATTTTTTAATAGTCTAGTTAAACATTTGACTTCTTCCCATATCACTAAAATTCTTCCAACTCAGCAATAAGTTGGCAACGTCAGAGCCAACTAACGTTAGACTAGATGGAAAGTTAACGGTTTAGCTATTATATTGTTTTTTAAAGGTTTGGTTATTATTTGTTTAAATCACAAGGTTTGGATATTATATTGTATTTACCCTAAAATTTATAAATAGACCCAAGTTTATGAGGTTTCTAGTATGCTTTAAGATACTTGTTGTATATTTTAAGGTAATGTCTATTTTCTATTCAAACCTTTTTCAAATTCTTTTATATTATCCAAACCTATGAAAATGCTATTAATTAGTCAAATCTTTCGTAATGCATCTAAATATTAGCCTCTTTAACGTTATCGTTAATAGTTTTGTAACTTTTTTCTTAGTTAAAATACTAAAATTTTGAAATGTTGACCTTCGTGTGTCTCTTCCAAGTCAGTATCACGTTACCAAGTCAATATTACTAACAAAATTGCTAAGTGTATGGAGACATTACCCTATATTTTAATAAACTTGTGGTCTGTTTCCTGAGTTTTCTTGTATGTTATGAGGTTTTTTTTCTGGTATGCTTTATGAGGTTTCTTATTTGCTTCGAGAAACTTATTGTGTGCTTTAAGAAACTTGTGGTATGCTTTATAAAACTTGTTGTATGTTTTATGAGGTTTTTGGTATGCTTTCAGGAAACTTGTGGTCTACATTAAGAAACTTTTGGTGTACTTTAATAAATTTGTAGTCTGCTTTATTGAACTTGTAGTATGCTTTAATGAACTTGTGATATGTTTTATGAGATTTTTTGTATGT